TCAATGTGTTCGGGATGGCTGCGAGCCATTTCTAAATGTTTTTTTTTCTATTTTTTTTTTCAACACTCATGAGACTCTACACACTTTTGATATCTTTTGATACTCATGAGACTCGTCTCTTTTTTGGTTCAACACGGACATTTTGGTGATGTTTTCCTGCTTTCGATGCCGATCTCGGATCCCTTTCGAGGAGATCCTTGTGGCCTACCGTCTAAAGGGAGACACACCTTCAGACTACCAGCCGCCACCCAGACGGCAGATTTGTGTGCGGCGCTTCTTCGAGGTGAACATGAAGGAGATGTACAGCGCTTCACCCACCCCTTGGCGAAACAGGGAGAAACAGGGAGACGGTGTCCCAACAATCTTCGCAGGGCGTTACGCCTTAAGGAGGGGCGGGTGAGCCCGAGAAACGCTGTTGAGGACATCAAGTTGGTGCTCCCGCAAGAAGCTTGGAGAATGCGTGGCAGACCTTTGGACATGATCAGGCCCCCAGACACCTGTGACGCAGACGCAAAGTGACATGTGTTTCAAATGCCAGTTTGGCAGGGCAGATCTCATCACCATGGTGGGCCTCTTTGGCGTTTCTTCCCATGTCCTGGCAAATACCAACAAGTTCTTTGACCGCAACACGTCTTCTCACCATACGTGTGAGAGAGAAAAAGAATGGGGCACGGGGTTTGGAAGATCGATTTGGGTTCCATCGCTATTCGTTTGGAGGCCATCGCTACTAGTAACAAGAAGCTACTAGTAGCAATAAGTTATGGGTAGACTGGTCGATTTCCAGCACCTTTGCAGAGGGTCATTTCCTGGGAGTCGTTATACTTTTATCTTATCATGAGGAAGTTAAGTTTCCACTGGGTGTGGTCAAAACAAAACTGTTTCTTTAACCCTTTCTTTTTTCTCCTAATTCTATTATTTTCCAACTTCCAATGCCAAGCCAAGCTTCATTCAGCTCATAATTTTGATCTACACCCATTTCCAGAATGTGCGTTGAGCACATTTTGCTGAGAAAACTCATTTGCGGTTCTGGGATCTCGAGGAAAACTGCGCTGCAAACACTTCACAGCCTGACGGGGTCTCACCGTCTCAGCGTCTCACCATGTTGAATGGTCCACTTGGAGGTCCTTTTCCGAAACAAGAACCAAACTGACTATCCAACTAGATACGATCTAACCGCACTAAACTCAATGTACCCTGATCTCTGAGGTGGTTGGCTGTTGCCACCTGGCTGGAAGAGAAGAACCCACGTTGGCCTGGAACTTGGGAATCAGCCACGGACAACATTTCAGGTGCCAGTGGTGCTTTTGAGCGTCCGTACCATCGCCAACTATCGGCGAGCCTCGGAGAGAAGCCTTCAGCAACGACTTGTCGAATGCACTAGTAACAAGTGCATCGCTACTAGAAACAAGTGCATCACTACTACACCTTTGGGACTCGTGGTAGGAGACTTTGGGTTGCCCCAAGTGAGAAACCCATCAGAATGCTGTGACGTCTCAGGAGTGAAGGTGGGTTCGATCCTTGGCTGCGAAGAACCGTTCGATCGGAAGGCGAAGGCCACATTCGGAACTGAAACGAAGCGGCTGTAACTCTTAAAGAATGAAAGCTCAGTTCTTCTTGCACGGTTCTTTGGTCTTCTTGCTCTGTTTGAGATGGTTTAATGTTTAAGAACTGGTGCATGCTGATGGCCTAGCTCTACTCAGAGTATAGGTATGCTGGTGGTATGCTGCTAGACTGTTACTCTTGAATGAAACCGCTGTAATTTGGGAATCACTTGACAAAACTTAAGTGGAACTCGAGGAAGTCTCGTGTAGATTCCATGCTTTTCGACCACTGCCTCGACAAGGATCTTGGGATGAGAGCATCATGTTGACTCGTGTGTTCAATCCAATTCAAGTCTGAAGCCGGAGTGCAATGCATCACGCATCAAGGATGCACCCTGTGACCTCACGCTGCTTTCAGATTTCACTTTCAATGGAAGGATGCTGCTTTGATGCGCTTGCTGCCAGATGCTGCTGAAGCACAAGTCTTCTCTGAGTGTGTGTGGGCCTCATGAGTCCCAAGCTTTGTGCAGAAAGCTGTCCTTGCACTTGCTGGTTTGGACTTTCCCTCGTTGCCTTAGCGAAATCCTCAAAATTATGACTTTTGATGACTTTTGTATGCGACTTAGCACATCTAGGTGGCTTTCCCAAAGTCAGATAACAAGAGCTGCTCGGAACAAGAAGCTACTAGGTTGGAGGCCATCGCTACTAGTAACGAGAGGCCACTAGTAACAAGGGCACACCTTGTCGACAAAGCAACTGAGTTTCGCTACGCCAGGCTCTCGCCTATTGGTCCTTGCTGGTTGGAGCTGCGGAAAGGTCCCGCCACCGCAGTGTTGTTGTTGTGGTGAGTTCTGCACCAGAGGTGGATCGAAAGAGAAGAAGACAATCCTCCAACATCAGACAGACAATGTCCGTTTATGTCCTATTCAGTCTTTGAGAAGAGCGCTGAGGAATGTCAGGACTGGGTCCCCCCGGCCAAACGCACACTCGAGATATGGTTCGTTAAGGCCAAAAAGCTCACTGTGACTCCGAGGGGTACACACAGACTTAGATAGAGAGCTCAACTGATTGAGCATAAGTTGTGAAGGTGACTCACGGATTCATTAGCACTTTAATGCACTAGACGATTAGCTACTGCAAAACAAAGAAGGAGACAGCTTTGGCTATACTTAGGTTCACGGATGCATTAGCACTTTCATGCACCAGGCGATTGCTGCGAAACAAAGAAGGAGACAGCTTTGGCTATACTTAGGTTGACACTTTAGAATATGAATTCAATTTGATAAAGAAAATCCAGAACAAAAAAAGGTACATGAACCACCAAAAAACAAACCAGGGGACCACAGCAACTAATCAACAGTGAAAACCAAAGCAGGTATGTGTGCACCTCCCTGGTGCGCGGTCTTCGTTGGCCAGGACGCGCGCCAGGGAGTCCTTGGCCCCCTGCTAGAAAAGCGCAAGCCGTAAGAACTAAACCCTTGAGAGGGTGTGTGTGTGTGTGCGTGTATCTGCGCTTCAAGGTTTAAGCACTGCGCCTGCCACGAAACCTGCGCTTCACAAGCTCCAGTGCCGCGCCTGCCACGAAATCTGCGCATCAAGATTCACATGGCGCATCCCTGCCAAGAGCACTTCCAAAACAAGCTTTCGCTCGAGCCTTCCTCCGATTTCTGAAAACGAACCACATGTCACACGTCCAAAGGTCAGGGTTCACCTGCCACGAAATCAGAGGGCTCCGAAGACCGCCTCCATGTCCAAAGCGCATGCGCCTGCCACGAAATCTGCGCATCGAAGTAAAGCCGCTCCAATCTCCTGCGCCTGCCAGTAAAATGCTGACGTTGGACGGGCGAGAGCACGAGGTTTACCTTGCGCCTGTCACGAAAGGTGACCACCAAGTCCAACAGCGTGTGCGGCACCACGCGCTCAGCAGATTCTGCGAGCCTGCGCAGTTGAAATGCACTTCGCAATCTCGAGGTGAATGAATGCACTGTAACCGGCGAATAATTAGCCGGACACGCCGATGAGAACCTCCGATCAGACACCCGGCTTTTGTATGCTTTTGTTAGTGTGGCCGCACTGTTTGGGGAACCATGCCAATCCTGTCTCGGAAAATTAGGTTCCGGTGTAAAGAAGTGTGGCAGGGAATAGGACCCAAGATCGCAGCTTGAATCTATTACTCACTTTTTTCGCCTTTGACTTTTCTTTTTGAAAAAATCTGTGAATGTGCTGAGCCCTGCCGGTTCGGTCCAGCAACGGCTCGAGCGCTGCGCGGCAGCTCGGGACTTCGACGGGCGCCATGCTCCTTGGACTTGTTGGCATAGTAAAAATGGCTTCTTGTTACTACTAGTAAGGCCAGGAGCTACTAGTAGCGTCCTTGCTCCTAGTAGCGATGCCCTTTGTTACTAGTAGCTTCTTGTTACTACTAGTAAGGCACTTGTTACTAGAAACGATGCACTTGTTCCTAATAGACTGTTTGTGTTTGTTGTCTAGCTGTGTTTATGCGGGTCTTTGCCAAAGACAATTTTCGCATAGGTGGATGATATGCTCTTCCTTTTACATTGCATAGTGTTTGAGGTGTTGCTTGATGTTGTTGCAAACAAATTGGTCATCCGTGCATTTTCCCCACTTTATCGTGCATTTGATCTCTCCTTGGACGTTTGACACATTTCCTTCCGTGGGGCGGCGCTAAGGGCCTATCGCCCCGGTGGTGTGCCGTTGGGAGGAGACAGGTTCGACAGGTCTGACATCATCCAGGTCCCCGGCGGGCCTGCGCCCTGGGGACAGGTGGTGCGCAGGGACGACAGTGACGACGAGGTTGATCTGGGTTCCACTGTCTCGGCTGCGGGGACGCGCTTTCACTTCGGAGACTTTGGCCACTCAGACGAAGATTTACACGGTCTTGTTTTACATGGGCATTGCCAGCATGGAGCTACCTTAGGCACAAAACCTTTTGAACAAACACAATTACCGGGTTGTTTGTGTGTGTATGATTGTGCCTGCAGAGTCTTGGATTTGTTTTAGTTCAACCATCCATCTTGCATATCAGCTGCTTCCACTGAGATGTGGATTCCGTTTGCCAAAGCCGTGCTGGCAAGATCGGCGGTGGATGCTGCTGCTGCCTCTTCCTGGTTCTGCTCATTATGTGTTTTGGTTACGAAAAGAGTCTGCATGTTTTTTGCTCCAATTCTCCAAGTGGAGCCGAGGCTTCTATCCTCCTTTAAAGGCGGGAGGGCGGATGCAAATGAAGGACAACCATTTGGCATATAGAGTAAGATCTGGGATATCCAGAGATATGGAGCATCCTGAGGACAAAACCCCAAGCACAAGTCCAGTGCAAATGATCTAGTTTCGATGAACGGTTTGGCTTGGAGGCTGTTTCTAAGATGGGAGGGCCAACATCATCTTCCATTCTTCTTTGTTTCTAAGAGCGATGGCCTCCAACCTAATAGCAAACTATATTAGACCGTTCTTTTCTTTTAGAGTCTGAACCTCATAGTGAGGTCCAAGAGTGTTTTCAGGCCTGCATGCCACTCACTTTGGGATCCTGCGAAATTCTGCTTGAAGCTCAGCGTGCGACTTTTGTTTGGCTTAGAGATCGGCCGGGTAAAGGAGGACTTGTAGGAGTTCTGAACCACCAAAACCACCTTGGTATGTACACTAGATACCGTACAAAAGACCCCTTAGTGAGTACTTACCGGCCTTGATTTCATTCCACTGCGTGTCACTAGAGTCACTTGACTCTGACATACTTTGACTATTGTCTACTTCTAACATCTTCAAACTGGTCGAATGATTGTGTGTTGCACAGTAGGATTGGCCGACATATGGATGCGTTTGTTTCCGGAGCTTTGGTGAGTTGACCGTCGTGTCATGCTGAGTTGACCGGCGTTGTCAGCTATGGTGCTACCTACCAGGGTGGCCGGAACTTTATTGGCCGCAGCCTGAGTTGAAGATCTCTAGACATTTAGGCCATGTACCCAGGTAGTACCAGGTACAAAGGAACTCGGCAGCTTCTATGCTAGGACGAAGGGCACAGGGCACATCTTATGATATTTTATGGCTCTGGTTCTTCAAGGCCTTAGGTCTTAGGAGGTCTAACACCGGAGTTGATTCTAACACCGGAGCGTTGAGAGATGGTCAGCAAGCTTCCACACGAAAAGACTGACATCTAAGTTTCGAGGAATTCAAAAAAGATACGACCACTTGGGGAATACAAGAAATCGAAAAGAAGCGAGAAAATGCGAACCATGAACAGCAATGTGCTATTTGTATATCTTGTTGCTTTGTTTATTTTTTTCGTAGTAGTTTTTAATCAAAACAAGACTGCAAACACTCACTTGTGATTTTCGCATGTCTTCTCGTTTTTGTTTGTATACTTTTACGACGAAAACACAACTGTTGACAATACGGAAAAACACAAAAAACATATATCGCTGTTCATGGTTTGCATCTTTCATACTTGTTTCGTTTTCTGAAGACGCGTCGTGCTGTTTTTGTATGTTATTCAAATAAACAACAATAATGTATCAAGAAAACAGCAAGCTTGAGGAGTTCGTATGTCTCAACCTCGAGCGGTTCAGATACCTTTGGCGCCTGAGGCTTCTGGAACGACTACTTGATTTTCCCTGCAACTATACAGTGCTAGGCCTAGGAACTGTTCTCGGAGTGTTCCGACGATGGCAAGGCAGCTTCCACACCTTCAGATGGCCGCTGTGTTCCAACCATGGATTTACACTTGTTCTACGTTGTGCTAGTAACAAGAAGCCACTAGTAACAAAGGTCATCGCTACTAGGCGCAAGGACGCTACTAGTAGCTCCTGGCATTACTACGAGTAACAAGAAGCTACTAGTAACAAAAGGCGTCGCTACTAGGAGCAAGGACGCTACCAGTAGCTCCTGGCATGACTACTAGTAACAAGAAGCTACTAGAAACAAAGGGCATCGCTACTAGGAGAGAGGACGCTACTAGTAGCTCCTGGCATTACTACTAGTAACAAGAAGCTACTAGTCGCAAAGGGCATGGCTACTAATAGGTCCTGGCATGACTACTAGCAACAAGAAGCTACTAGTAACAAAGGGCATCGCTACTAGGAGCAAGGACGCTACTAGTGCATGACTACTAGTAACAAGAAGCTACTAGTAGCAAAGGGCATCGCTACTAGGCGCAAGGAGGCTACTAGTAGCTCCTGGCAATACTACGAGTAACAAGACGCTACTAGTAGCTCCCGGCATGACTACTAGTAACAAGAAGCTACTAGTACCCAAGAGCATCGCTACTAGGAGCAAGGAAGCTACTTCAAACAAAGGGCATCGCTACTAGGAGCAAAGACGCTACGAGTAGCTCCTGGCATGACCACTAGTAATAAGAAGCTACTAGTAACAAAGGGCATCGCTACTAGGCGCAAGGACGATACTAGTAGCTCCTGGCATTACTACGAGTAACAAGAAGCTGCTAGTAACAAGGGGCATCGCTACTAGGCACAAGGACGCTACTAATAGCTCCTGGCATTACTACGAGTAACAAGAAGCTACAAAGGGCATGGCTACTGAGCGCAATGACGCCAGTAGCTCCCGGCAATAATACGAGTAACAAGAAGCTACTAGTAACAAAGGGCATCGCTACTAAGCGCAAGGACGCTACTAGTAGCTCCTGGCAGTACTACGAGTAACAAGAAGCTACTAGTAACAAAGGGCATCGCTACTAGGCACAAGGACGCTACTAGTAGCTCCTGGCATTACTACGAGTATCAAGAAGCTACTAGTAACCAAGGGCATCGCTACTAGGAGCAAGGACGTTACTAGTAGCTCCTGGCATTACTACGAGTAACAAGAAGCTACTAGTAACAAAGGGCATCGCTACTAGGCGCAAGGACGCTACTAGTAGCTCCGGGCATTTCTACGAGTAGCAAGAAGCTACTAGTAACAAAGGCCATCGCTACTAGGCGCAAGGACGCTACTAGTAGCTCCTGGCATTACTACGAGCAACAAGAAGCTACTAGTATAGACGGGCATCGCTACTAGGCGCAAGGACGCTACTAGTAGCTCCTGGCATTTCTACGAGTAGCAAGAAGCTACTAGTAACAAAGGGCATCGCTACTAGGCGCAAGGACGCTACTAGTAGCTCCTGGCATTTCTACGAGTAGCAAGAAGCTACTAGTAACGAAGGGCATCGCTACTAGGCGCAAGGACGCTACTAGTAGCTCCTGGCATTTCTACGAGTAGCAAGAAGCTACTAGTAACGAAGGGCATCGCTACTAGGCGCAAGGACGCTACTAGTAGCTCCTGGCATTACTACGAGTAACAAGAAGCTACGTTGTGGCACAAAACGCCCAAGGTCAATCGAGTGGCTTCCGGGGGTGCCGCAGATGTCCAGCATCAGGGATCTCTCCCCCATGAACGTCCGAACTGCGGACCGAAGGGCGAAGGGAAGCGCGACATCTTGAGCGCGACATCTTGAGAGCATCTCTCTCTCTCTCTCTTTTTTCTTTGCTCCTTTGTCAATTGTTTTCTTCCTCTCTCTCTCTCTCTATGTCTCTATCTCTATATATATATACATTTATAAATATGTTTTATGATGTTTGGCCGCTGGAGCTTGTGGAGAAACCTTTCGAGTGGAGAAACCTTTCGAGATACGAGCCCAGGACGGACTGATGGTGGAACTGGGCATCGCCGAAGACTTGGAACATCGGTTGTTAACTCGGAACGTCGCCTGGTGATTTGAGGTGACGCAATACCAAGTGGTGCGAGATAAGATCCCGGACATCTATCAGACGTGCCCAACAGAAACTGAGACGAACAAGATGAAACATATGAAGCACTGCATAAGCAGAAACATGTGAAGTCAGCTGTTGGCTATGCGTTGCTCGGAAGTACCCGCATAGTCATTGGACACTGCAGACGGGAGGTTCTGCGGAAGACAACGACACAAGCAAACGTGAGACAAGGCCAAAACGCGGAACCTGCCTATGTTTCTGCTAAAGTGTGCATGTCTTGATACATGAGAAATGTGCTCAGAGAGAACGCGTCAAGATGTATAAGTTGAACACAGAAAATCATGATTTTGGAAGTGCTTGTTTTCATCTCCCCAGTCAGGGTGTGGTTTCATGGTTTTTGCATGTCGCATGTCATGTTGAAAAAGACTTCAAATATACTGCTGGCCCCAGTAAAAATGGACGCACGGCTTCTTACATTGTACTGGTAGAAACTTAAAACTGGTACCAACATGTGGGCCAGAATCGGTGTGCCATGGGGATTGGATTACGGCAACCCATAGAAACCTTAGAAAACACCAACATGTAGAAGATTGAATCCCAATGGAATAGTGTAGGTTTAGACACAATCTAGGAGAAAAAGTGCTAGTTTCGAAGCGGTGTGCCATTGTGTTTTCCAAATGGGGTAAGTTCTTACATTCGTGGGGTTAGCGGTGTGCCACGGGGGTGGGTCAAGTTCATGTGCGATGGGGTACGTTGCCACGTCGGGTCGTAAATCACAGTGCATTTGCATAGCTTCAAAAAACCGCAGGTCAGATAGCAAGCCTTTTTTTGGCCAGAAAATGGTGCTGAACGTCTACCAGACCCCCATGTTACTATATTTTAAAAGGGTGTGTGTTCATCTCGCCAGTCCAGGTGTAGTTTCAGGATTCTTGCACCTGCCTTTTTCATGCTGGGAATTGTATAAGATAGATAGCCCATTGCTACCACACATGGCCGCAGCAGCAGTCAAGCGGCTTGTGTTTTCCCTTACACTCGGTCTCAAGTTTGCCACAGCGCTTGTTTGAATGGATCACGCCTCACCACGCATGCTTCGATTGCCTTCACGCGAAGAATCGCGAGAGCTCTCAAGACCCGATCTAAATCAGGTCACCCCCCTGAACCCCACTTCATGTGCGTCATCATCATAGTCATCATCTGTGTGACAAGCGTAATCATCTTCCGTTGCCCGCATTATGTTTGTAATCATCCTGTATGTATATATATAGTCACTATATCTAGCATAAACATCTTACCGCAAATCACAATATCAAATCTACATCTAAAAGGTTCTTGAGTGGACATGGTTGCTTCTAGGATTGCTGAAAGGCCCCGGAGAACCCCCAGTCCACAGCCTCATTAGAACACATAGATCAATCGTGGCAGTAGCAGTTGCCCAGTGTGTTGGCATGTTCGACGACCCAACAACTTGGTTTTAGACTGCTGAACATACAGATAAGGTTTCTTTTACAGGTGTCGATGAACTGAGATTCATCGAGTTACTCGGTCTGCAAACGTTGCTCTTTCCGTTGCAACCTTTGCGAAGCAAGCAGGTTCCTAGCTTCACTCAATAATTGATGAACAAATTGTGTAATTACATGAGCAAAACACACACCGGTCCCTACCTTACCTGATGGAGGTACAAGACGGACTATGAAGGCTTCTTCATTTCCAACCTGCGCAGTGCTTTGCAGGCCAGACCTGAGAACAGCAAATGGAGCTCCGCGCTCTCTTTGTTTGCGAAGACCGGGTGAGCCAAGCCCTGGAGAGCTTGAGAAGATGGTCCGATTGCTCCTGCAGAGCAATTCTTTTTCTGTCTGTTTTGTTTGAAGAGAAGCCTTTCCAGAGAAGATGGACCAGCAAGATGATGCTAAAATTTGAAGAATGACTTCCGCCACGCATCCGGTTTTGTGGAGACCGGAAAACAAACAACCCCCCCGTTGGATCGTGGTAGGCTGACTCCGCTCTTGACTCAGGCCACCGTAGCAGAATTCAAAGCCACGGAACTGTACACCAAGAGACCACAGGCTGAGATATGCTGTCGACCTTTTGGCTGAAACAATGGAGTGTCATAGACAAAAGATATGTCAGCGACATTAATCTACACAGCAGTCACATGTACTCACGATATTGCGGCCATGTGACAGAGTAATGCAAAGACTTCAATGCAGGCGTATTTTTGGACAGCAAGCAAACTCGCCAACAGGTAGCAGAGAGCCTGGAGAAGACCTGCAGGAAGGCACTTGTTGTACGATATTGGAGGTATGCTTAGATGAACTTGAAGGCTATTTGGATTCCACCCAAGAAGCGATGTCAGGTGTGCCAAGAGAACCTCCAAGGCTTCCTCACCTGCTGGGGTATCCAGCTTCTAACGGTGAGCCTTGATCCAAGGCGCGAAACGAAACGAAACTCTGACCAGGCACGGCATGAGCTAACATGGCATGATGACATGGTGTGCCAGGATCGAATCAGCCAATGTGCAACAACAGGCACGTGGTAGACATGCCGGGGGGGAGAGATCTTCCAGTTCTGCTTTTTTGCATCCCATGCGCGTGTTTGACATTGTTGCGCTGTATATATTATATTATATATGCCTTGCTTTGGTCTTTGACGACACAAGTCCTTAATCGGCGCCAACACATAAATATCATTACATGAGAAGTATGCAAGAAAAGGACCATCAAGGTTTTGCAAGCCATAAAGTGGAGTGAAGGTCGCAGACCTTTGCTTCCCAGGTAAGGCCTGTAGCAACGATCCACACCAGCCACACCATGCATACTATTGAAGTATACAAAGAAGGTAACAACTATGAACAGCCCACCGCACATGCTTCGACCACATCAGCTGCATTGAGCCACCAAGTGGAGAAAAGGGTTAGAACACGAAGAAGAGGTTTAAGATCGAAAACAGCTGGGCGTTTCTTGACTCCCATGTTTACACTTCAAGTCCTCTTTGGTGCCTTTACACGGTCTTCCACTTAACATTCAGATCCTAGAAGCTTCTGCTTCAATGTTTTGGATTTCTTTTGGAGGTGGAGATGCAGAAGCAGGCCACTGAGTCCATGAAGCAGAAGGCCAGACTGGTTGAAGAATGTGTTATATTGAATCCGAGCTACAGACCATGGCCTCCACCCCATTAGCGATGGCCTCCAACTTAATAGCGATCCTTCAGAATTTGATAAAGCAGACAGGCAGCCTTGATCCGTGCAAAGACCACGGTCCTGGAGGCTGACTTTGACAGGCAATCGAACGTGAAATGGAAACCACGAAAGGTGACGTGCTGTGACGCCCTCCGCGATGTGTCTCATACGGTTTTGGCTCTCCCATCACATTGGCTTGTTCTAGGTTGGAGGCCATCGTTATTTAGGTTGGAGGCAATCGCTAGTAGGTTGGAGGCCATTGCCATTAGGTTGGAGGCCAAGGCTAGTAGGTTGCAGGCCATTGCCATTAGGTTGGAGTCCATTGCTATTAGGTTGGAGGCCATGGCTACTTAGGTTGGAGGCCATCGCAAGTAGGTTGGTGGCCATTGCTATTATGTTGGAGTCCATTGCTATTAGGTTGGTGGCCATCGCTACTGGGTTGGTGGCCATCGCTACTGGGTTGGAGGCCATCGCTATTAGGTTGGAGGCCATCGCTAGTATTATGGTTGGAGGCCATTGCTATTACGTTGGAGGCCCTCGCTATTAGGTTGGAGGCCATCGCTATTAGGTTGGAGGCCATTGCTACTAGGGGAGGCCATGGCTAGTAGGTTGGAGGCCATGGCTAGTAGGTTGGAGGCCATGGCTAGTAGGTTGGAGGCCATGGCTACTAAGTTGGAGGCCATCGCTATTTAGGTTGGAGACCATCGCAAGTAGGTTGGAGGCCATTGCTTTTAGGTTGGATGCCATGGCTATTTAGGTTGGAGGCCATCGTAAGTAGGTTGGTGGCCATTGCTATTAAAAGGTTACCGGTTGGTGGCCATCGCTATTAGGGTGGAGGCCATTGCTATCAGGTTGGAGGCCATCGCTGTTAGGTATTAGGCCGTCCCTAGTAGGTTGGAGGCCATCGCTATTAGGTTGGAGGCCATCGCAAGTAGGTTGGTGGCCATTGCTATTAGGTTGGAGTCCATTGCTATTAGGTTGGAGGCCATCACTAGTAGGTTGGAGGCCATCGCTACTAGTTCGATGGTTGGACGGTTGTTGGCAGGCAGGTGAAGCTGGTGAATGTGGAGGCGGATGCCGCCGCTGTGAACATCACCAGGAAGGCCCAGGGAGCCTGCAGTGGTGGGTGCAACATGTGTCAGTTTAGAGACAGAGGTTGAAGGATGAGGAAGGATGAGCAACAGCTACATAAACACCTTGGACAGTGACTAGATGTGACTAGTCTGACCAGTGTTTATCTTTTCGCAGAATAGTGTTCTTGCTTCTTCGCGCAGGCAAAGGCGGATGCCGAGTACAACTTGCAGCAGGCATGGGACAGTTTAGAAATGCCCCAAGAACTTCTGTAGCAAGTCTTCACGAACAACGCTGGAGGCTCCCAAATTCTGACTGGTTACACTCAACACTCCCAAGGCTGTTTGACGGAGGAACAAAAGAAGACCCACTCAAACCACAACACTCTTCTGTCGTTTGGCCACCATCCAAAAACACTCTTGCCCGTTGCACTTTGCAGCCAGCACCTTGCAGGCCCGCGCAGACGTTTTGACGACCATCCAGAACACTGTGAAGTGCTCTCCTGAACAGTTTGTTCGGCGAAAAGAAAGAAGTAAGAAAGGAAGGAACGAAGGTCTAAGGTCTAGAGAAGAAAGGCCGCGACACCACCAAACATGACTTTGCTTGTTTGTGTGTTTGGTTGGTTGTTTGTTTGTTTGTTTGGTTGGTTGGTTGGTTGTTTGGTTGGTTGGTTGTGTTGGTGTTGGTGTTGGTGTTGGTGTTGGTGTTGGTGTTGGTGTTGGTGTTG